TGGACAATTTTTTCGAAACATGTCATACTACACTATCGTTGAAAGAAAAATGTCAATTTCACTCTTAATTTTTTACATTATTTTCTGACCGAATTATAATTTTTACTTTCTCTCTTAATTTCCGATGGTATTCAGAGCGGGCAATGATTGACAATTTTTTCGAAACATGTCATACTACACTATCGTTGAAAGAAAAATGTCAATTTCACTCTTAATTTTTTACATTATTCTCTGACCGAAAGTCTAACGAACGAACGTTTTATAATGTATTTAAAATTTCCTGAGTGACTGGCATACCATAGGTGTCATTATGATTTGTAGCTTCAAATTATAGCTTTTTTAATTGACTTTTCTGATGATTTTAACAGTATACTTGAAAAGCAAATGGAAAATCTACAATGTAGATACGGTGTGTTTGCTTTTGCCTTCACAGTTCATTTACAAAAATAGTCCCGTAGGGTTTGTTCGCGGTGCGTGACTGCAGCCAAATCTTATGAGGGGCAAAATTTGCTTGGGGTGAAGGAGCGGGAAGGAAACTCAAAAATTCTCCACAAATGCCCTAAAATGGCTCAAACCCCACCAAAAACACGTCAGCTCTGAGGGGGCTGCACATGGAGAGTATGCGATCTCAATCTTTTTCCCACCCACAGAAAAACAAACTGTATACAGCTGTGCTCTTTCATTGGTCGACGAGTTTCGGGCTTTCGTGCGGGCGTTTTTCCCTCGCTCAGACGAAATCGCGACAGCGTCCACGACTGAAAAGACCCAGATACACCTGCGAATTAGAAGCGCTTGTTGAAAGTGGGACATCAATAGGAAAGGAAGATTTCGATGGCTTGACGTCGAGCGATCTAAATTCCGGTTTCCTATTGGTGTTTGACTTTTAACAAGCGCTTCTAACTCGCAAGTGTATCTGCCGCTCAAGACCCGAAACCGAATGTCACCGGGCGATTCGATCAATCGTAATCGATGGATCGAGCCGGAGAGTGGGCCTCGCGGCCGACACGAATTCAATTCGCATCCAGGTAACCACGGGGAGATGAGGGATGTTTACAGAGAGATGGATGGTGTTGGGGGGGGGGGCTTGGAAGTCACGGTGGCGGCTTTTGAGCCCGAGCGCGTATTTGATTTGCGCGGACGGCGCGGCGCGGCGCACGGTGGCGGGGCCCGGAGCCGTGTAAATCGGGGCGCGGAACCGTGTAAATCGGGGCCGTTATCGAGTTACACGTCATCAGCTGTCATATTCTATCAGGCCGGGCGGAACGAGGCGAACGTGAGGTCGGGGATGGGCGAGTCCCGCTCGCACGCCGCGCGTAACCTTGTTAAGCCGCGCTTCCACCGGGCGCCGCCGCGCCGGTGCGGCGCGAATCACGCGACGGATTCGCGAGACTCGGTGCGATAAATTAGAGCATGTCCCCGTCTTTCTCTTGCCACTGAAAAGCATAACCGGAATCGTGGGGAGGGGGATAAATGCACGTACTTCTGCCGTACAGCACTTAAATATTACTAACTATATTACTTTATGTATATATTATTCTACCTCTCCTTCTCTATTGCTAATGATTAATATATATACTATTCTACCTCTCCTCTTCTATGGCTAATAACTATAATATATCTTCTATCATCTATTGATTTAATATATTTAAATGCTGTTGAACTATGTGAATTAAGACATGAGCCCTGAGATCCATAAGAATATTTGCATAAAAAGGCTCGCGTCATAGTGCACATAGTTCCGTTTGCCAGAAATACGCACTGAATAAAACACTCCGGCCGTGGGAGCCGTACTTACGGGCTATATAGAGATACCGTCCGTGTTCCGGGCTCAGAGGCCAAAAGTTCCGAGCGTAGCACCCGGAGCAGTCGAAGTGCTCCGGGTGTTACGCCCGGAACTTTCGGTCTCACTGCTCCGGGTGCTACGTTCGGAACTTTCGGCCTCTGAGCCCGGAACACGGACGGTATCTCTATATAGCCCGTAAGTACGGCTTCCACGGCCGGAGTGTTTTTTTCAGTGCGTCCAAATTTATTTGACTCCACGTAAAGGTCTGAGGTATTTTGATTGGAAAGTGCGTGACATACCATTCATCTTCGGAATTGCAATTCGATCAACTTCTCCAGCCTCCGGAGGATCTCTACCATGACAGATTCCTGTGGCGGGTAAGCGTCGCAGAGCGCCCTAGCGCGCCGCAAAAGCGGCTTATACATACAGATCAATTTCTCAGCGAGAACATGCAGCTTAAAATTACTCCTAGCCTGAGTCAATTTTTTCCAAATTTTCCACCCTGGATCACTCTGAAGAGCTCAGGGAATCCTTTATCCTCCCTTTGGCCCTTTGAGGCTGAGTGTCCCCACGAGTTAATGAAGGATATCCGCGTGAGAAACCAAAAGTCGCGCTTTAGGTCCTACAGGAATGACAAAACAGTCATCAGGTGGAGTGTCTTTTAATGCATCCCGTAGATCCCTCTTTGATGAGATGTCCTTCTACCCCCACCCTCACAAAAAGTTCCGAGCTCCACCATGCTGAAAAGACGATTTGCCTTAGTAACTTCTGATACAAGTGACAGGTTTGTGGTAATTTTATTGCGGGAATGAGTGAACATCAAGATAGCAAAATAATTGCCAAGTTATTGGTTGCACTTTCAATTTTTGACCAAAAACAGCTCCATAATACTCCTTAGCTGTAACTTGCCGAAAAATCTACTTTTTACAGTCAATACGAAGCAGGCGAAAGTTGTCTAAAGCGAGGTATTATTTTATTCGTTGAATTGAGTGGTTAATTTTCAATTCCGGGTACATTCAGCTTCTGTTTTGCCAGCGAGATTTTTTAGGAATAAACATGCAGTCAAACGTATGCGTCTAGCCGTGACATATCCGTTTTTTGCCCAACATAATATCGTCACCTTCCAGGCAAAGTATCACAAGCGCCATGCGACGTTTAAAAATTTCCGCCGCCATTTTATTTTTTTACTGAGAAATTGTTGGTTGAATCTGTTTGAAAATTTCACTAAATTTTATCGGCAGCACAAAGAAAATTCGGTGAAATTTTCGGACAGCTTCGTTGAACAATTTCTCTGTAAAAAAATATAATGGCGGCGGAAATTTTTAAACGTCGCATGGCGCTTGTGATACTTTGCCTGGAAGGTGACGATATATCGAATGAAACCAGTATATTAGGAAAATTTGTTCGATATCTCAATGTCTGCTTATTCTCTCTATAAACCTACCTACTGCATCTGCGACGATTCCCAACACACTTGCGTTAACGGGCAGGATTCAAATGGTTACATCCGGTCGCACAATCAACTTTAAGACGAGCACTGCCTGTGGAACCGGGGCTTAACCTTGTTACTCGCGGAATAGATTTCGCCACCAAAATCTCGAGCATATCTACTAACAACTTGAAAACGTTACGACCGGATCTATATTAGTCTGTAAATGTTCGCTCACGGGAGAAAAGGTAAAAGTTAGCCTAAACTCTCTCTCTCTCCCTCCCCCCCCTCTCTCTCTCGCCGATCGCAAATTGGATATAGATGAGCAGTCAAGCCATATCTCCATTATAAATTTTAAAGAGAGACTCATGTGCAACATTCTGCATAGTAGATGTGCCCCTTAATCTTTTTGAATAAACACACAATGTTCAACAATGTTGTCGAAATGTTGTTGTTGTGTTGTTGCTGGACTGCTGAAGCCATACCTAAATGAAATTTTGCAAGGTGTGCTGTGCATGAAAATGAATGCTGAAAACGCTGCAAAGCCGGTTACCCTTGTGGGACTCTTCAAATTTCAATTTTTTAATATCCAAATTCGGCAACCTGGTATCAGCCATTCTCTGCACATGCCCATACCATACCAATTGCTTGGTCATGATATCGTGCACAATCGTCCCCTCAACGCCCATTATCTCGCCCTAGGTGTTGGTGTGGGTCCCCCCAGGTAGGCGACGGAGAGGGCGTCCAGCCAAACGGTGGGTAGAGGGCATCCATGAAGAGATGGAGAGATGCCAGCTTCCGGAGGATTTTTACCATGACAGATTCCTGTGGAGAATAGGCGTCGCAGAGCGCCCTAGCGCGCCATAAAAGCGGCTCGTACATACATACACATAATATCCAAATTAAGAGATAATTTATCAGGACGGTTAGAGACAGGGGTGGAGACACTAGGTTTTCCGAAGGCCCCAGAAAATAAGAGAATTGGAAACTCTCGTGGTAAAGACGAGAAAATATTGGAAGTAAGGCCCAGAGAGGCTTTGAAAATTCTATTATAAAGTGTCAAATGGGGCTCAAAAAGTTGCCAAAAGTAGCCCTTACAGGGTTATTTTGGTCAAAGTTTAGGACAATCGCTCCCTAACTTCACATGCCAGTCTATTTTTAGCGATGGGAACACAATCCCACTTTTTGAATTTAAAGAAAAAGTGCAAACATGAGCACAACACGTTTCAACGAACACAAAATTTACACGTGCCTGATAGCAAATAAGTGCAAAAACTAAACCATTTCATAGACTGTCCTTCTCCTCAGTCGCACAGTTTCAATTTGTTGAAGGCTATATCCGTAATTAATCACAACTCCTTTTTTAGTTGGCTTTTAAATTTTGGATTATAAACACCGGCACGTGTGGTGTACTAAACAATCATGGAGGAGCTTTCTACTCTTATATGGCCAGCAGTTCGTCTACCTATCTAACTTCACAAAGATACGTAATCAACGGCTGGTACATGAATCGTAATCAAGGATTTTATGTCCATGACTATGAATCATGTCCTAACTTGATGAGAGTCAGCTCCAATGGTTGTACAAATATCGGATCAGTCAGTTACCAAAAAAAAAAAAAAAAAAAAAAATGGAAACGAGAGAGGAGAGTTTGACGCGCCTGATGCTGCCAATGGTTCAATGGGTGCAAAACAAAAAATCGCGAACTGAAAAAATCGTTACGTAAATACGAAAAAACGAATTCGGGAACGCTCCACATTGTCTGGTATGTTCAGCTGTTTTCACTAAACATGCGGCGGGTTTTTCGCCAGAGCGGAAGGAATGTATCTCTTGAGTTCCCATTCCCATTCGGTGTTTCTGAACGGTACGTATGTTTTTGCTACATTATTGAGAATCCCCTATCTTTACCCTTCTTCAAACCAATCTAAAAAAAACTTATCCTTTTGAATAAAAATAAAAGTTCAAGTGTTTTGCAGTTGGAGGTCATTTCCTCTTCATCTTCTGTCCATGTCAATGTCGAATACTGCGTAATATGCGTGTGTTACTTTGCGCTTTCTTGTATGCAAGAAGTACAGTTTTAAATTGAAGATTAATTACTCAAATGCATATGGTGAATGGTACCAAATTTCTTGCTGGTTATCTTCATCCCAAATTAGTACTGTGTCCTGTGTCAAAAATCATCTAGATTCATAATAGACTTTACCATATTTCTGGGTAAATGTGTCAGACTTTCTTCCAGTAATGCTGACGATTACAATCGATATTAATATTTCAACAGGTTTCTCACTTGGGCTCTTAAAGACGTGCAGAATGATCTTCACCTTCCTGACAATTTACATCCTCTATTTATCAGCCTGCTTAAATGCTGCCGATGTCGTGCTATACGCGAATAAGGATTTTAAGGACCCAAAGTGTAACGTATCCCTCCAGGGCTGTAAAGCTATTTGCCCAAACGTGGCAGGCAAGGTAACCTCTATTAAGCCGTCGAAAGGTGCTTGCATGAGGTTCTTCGGCACTCCGGATTGCAAAGGTGGGCCTCCAGTTTACAAGGCGGCATACACCGATGAGTATGGCAGAGGATTGTCCGATCTGACTGGCAGCATCTTTCAGACAGCTAAAGGCATAGGCGATTGTGACACATCAAACGGAGTAACGTATTCGTCCAATCTCCTCTTAATCAGTGGCGTGGCGTGAAGGATCGATTTTCGATATTTCTCCATTTGAAGCTGTGGTAAAGAATCGATTATCAAGGTGTTCGCAACGAACACCTTGATAATCGATCCTTTTCCATAGATTTAAATGGCAAATCTATTGATATATCGTTAAGCACGCCACGCCACTGCTTAATATAGCCCTATAAAGTCGTCATATTATTCATTTATTTTTTAAAAAAGGCAATATTCGTAAGTCCGGAGTAATAATTACGAGGAAGTATTTCGAGGAATTTTCGCAGAGTAGCCAAAAAAGTGGTGCGCAAGACCTAGGCCTACCAATATTTTTTCTGAGAAATATAATTCTCTGTAATTTTTAGGTGTTTCATTTCATTCGATTTCTTTCTTTATCACCAGGAATTTTTTATAACTTACTCGTCTCGCAAAACATTTCTGGCGTTCTAAGTGCATATGCCGTGCAGTCGGTTGCTTCGATTTGAACCTGAATTAAAGGACACCAGCCTGGCATTGGACAAACTAGACAGACTTAATGTCTTAAAAATAGTGAATTCGTCTGAAATATTTGTCAGTCTTCGTCTAACATCATAGTTACTTCAGACCGACATCCGATTGATGTAGACGGTTGCCAAAATGTGACTTGTAAACCAAAACTTGTAAAACTTGACTCGTAAAACGACATGTAAACCGGCAGGGTGGTTTGTTTTATAAAACAGACCGTCAAAAGTAGGTTTGTCCCAATTTTTCTAGGCGATCAATTAACAGAATAAGCGAACATATCGGGGAATGTAGAGTGTGCTTCGTGAGATAGATCGAATTAAAACAATTTAATTATTGATACCGCAATTCTCGGTTCATTAAAAAAATGTCCAAAAAAGAAAACAAATAATCTTTCAATCAATCAGCAATGTATTCTACAGATCTTCGCTTAAGCTATGTTTGATGTATCATTGGTATAAAATTACGGATTTTCATCAACCAGAAAGATTGTTATGTTTCAATTAAGCAACACTGCTACTACACCCTAAGGTCTCCTCCTTCCTTATGTTAGCATCCCCTCTAGTTTCTACTGCACCCCTAAATCGTTATACATGTGCCATGGAAATATGTGCCACACGTTGCAGATTTGACGTTTCCTTAAATGAATTAATTGAAAACTCATTCTGACATTTCTTATCTCACAGATCCCGCAGAATTCCCTCGGGTTTTTCTCTGAGAAGCACTTCAAAGGAAAATCTTGCGTTGTGCCGGTAAGTGGCTGCAAAGCACTAAATCAAGATCTGGCGGGCAAATCGCAGTCTTTCATCATGAACTCGAAGTGTTGCACAGTCTACGAGAACAAGAACTGTTCGGGACCGGGGATTTTAACTTTTTTGGCAACCGATTTTGGAACCGCGTATGACGATTACTCAGGCAGTCCCACTTGGGCCAACTATAAAACTATCTCTTCCGTTAGAGATTCGTGCACAGTAACGGAGGGGAAGCAACGGAAAAGAGTGTAGGTAGGTTCAATGGACTACTACACAACGAGAAGCCACTATTTCTTCAATGTACACATGTGATGCAGAACGTAACGTTGAATCATCGTGATATGAATTTATATATTTTTCTACCATCCCACGATCAGCTTTTTATTTCAAGTCCCTCTAAGTTCTACATTCTTCACTGGAAAAAACGAATAGGACTCATCAAAAATTGTTGAATTTTGCCTCATGCAAACCAGAACTACCCTTAATTTTTTACAGATTGTACGTGTAACTTTATTTGAAATTGAGACAGAGAAGAACGGTTAAGCAAGGTTTAGAGTTTAGAAACTATAGGTTTCAAGATTTAATCTCTCAGTAAGGCCGTTTGCGGCGCAGTACGCACAGTCCGCAAAAGAGAACTTTTCATTCAAGCGCTTTTTTCCAAGTTGAGTGGGAAAATTGTAATTTGAGCACTCGATAGAAAAAAATTTCAATTATTTCAACGGGTGACGTGCGTTTTGTGCATTCTTCAACTGATGGAGGGTGGTAATTATGATCGCTTAACAAAGCAATTCTAAGTCCCTAACAATGCGGTATAATGGTTCCAGGAGCTTTTTCGAAAAACTCCGATTTAAAATTAACTGGATTTAAAATGTTAAACTACCATTGCCATGAATTGATTTGATATTTTAGGTAAACCTTACGTGATTTATATTATATGGGACACTGTGAAAAAAAGTACATTGAAATGGCTTAAAATCCATTTCTTTAACCTAAACTAGAAAAAAATCGGTAATGTAGCATTGCGTCCATGATATTGGACTTCATGCTCACTTTAATGAGGAATAGTTTTTTCGAAAAATCAAAGTGAGCGTAGCGTCCAAAATTGTGGGATGCAGATATTCGCTGACGTAAGGTGAGCGCAGGGTCCACAAATTTATCAAGACAATGTTTGCGAAATAAAGACGAAAAAGCTGTGTTCGCGTAGAAAATTGTGTATTTTTTGAGGTTAGGTCAGGTTATGTTAGGACAGGTTATGTTAGGTCAGGTTAGGTTAGGTCAAGTTAGGGTAGGTTAGGTTAGCTAAGGTTAGATTAGATAAGAAAAGTATGCGATTTTCTATGGACATCAAAACCGAGGGAGGTCTCCTTGGTATTGGACTCTATGCTCAAGCGAAGAAGTGAAAATTTAGCAATGAGTCCAAGATCTTGGGTGAGAGGAGCAGGTGAGTATATCAAGGGTGAGCATGGAGGTCAGTACGTGTATCTTGGACGCGATGCTACATAATCAAAAAATCGCTGTGCTGAAAAAATTGCGTTCGTGATAGTGCACTATGGTTCTCTTTGCACTATTTTTACAAAAACCTGACAACGACGGATCTTGCGGGAAGCGAAGATGAAACTGGATACGCGGCCAGTGCAACAGGTGTCCGCCGCGTCATTCTTGACCTATTTCTTGGCTTTTTGCGTGCGGAAATTCGCAGGCACCGCCCCAGCCCATTGCACGCCCCGGGAGCTTTTATTCCTCCTTGCAGCAGGGAAATAAGGCTATTTTTATTCCCCTGCGATAGGAAAAAATGCCTTCGTAAATGCAGAAAAGAGATGTAAGGTTAGGGAGTCTCCGAGTACTACGTGATGTGTTTTCCTACAAGGTTGCCCTGTTAAGAGAGCGCGGTATCCGGGGGAAAATAGATATTCACCCATGTTATTTTATTTCAAAACCTTTATTTTGAGCATTTGGGGGGAAACGTTGTAAAAAATTAATTACAAAAATTCGACTTATAAAAAACGAGGATTGACAAGTTATTGGTCCAGACAGTATGCAATTGTGCCAATGTTAAAATCGATTATCTCTTTTTTTTCACTATTTGGACCGCGTTTAGCAGAAAGATTCCGAGCCACATTAGGTTTTGCTAAATTTAACCGGGCAATTAATTTTTACAAGAGAATCTTTGGGCGAGACCCTTTGAACATTTTAAGGAATTTGCTTCGCACTATGCAGAAAATTCACTGAAGAAGAAGAAGAATCCGCACAACCTTTTTCATGTAAAAAATAAATTGACCAATTAAATTTGGCAATAGCTGATGTGGCTTGGTCGTTTTTTGCTTAGTACGGTCCATTTTGAGCTCGCCCACTCGGGAGAGCTCTTTAGGATCGATTTTTTTTAGCATTGGTAGTGTCCGTGGCGACAAAATGGATGGTTCTCGTTGCCGTCGGAGGAACGGCCAAAATCCCATTGATTTCGTCTAATAAGTCGGTCATTTTGAGTTCACGAATGACGTTTCCAATGCTCATGCTGGGCATTGGATGTTCTCCCAGTAAAGTGTAAAGTCTCCGAATACGTACTTCAAATTAATTTTTTTAAATTATAAGGGTTCGAAAATATGAATGATCATTTGAGTATTCCTTTGGAACCACCACAGTCCTTTTCTTTAATTATTGTCCCAGTTTAATTTTTGTTGCCATCTTGAAGTTTTGTGACGTCAGGCGGGTACCACTTTTGCCAGGCAACTACCGAATGGACTCATTTAGTCGTGACGTCATAGCCAGCATTGATTCCTTCGACTACGGTCTCGGGTTCCAAACAATTGGCTGTCCTTGTTGCACTAATGGCGTTTCCCCGTAAGAAACAACTTTCAAATTTCAAAACGAATTTTCGACCTTTTAAACGCCGGGAACCCCAGAGGTTGCTCCCGAAATCGATTTTAAAGCGTCAAAATAGGGGGGTCCAACCTTTAAAACGCCTCAAATCGACCAATTTTACCCGAGTTATCGCAGTTGAAAACAGGTACAAAATCATCAGTCTGTCTCTCTCTACGGCCGTTTAGCTGTTTACAGACAAGATTGAGGTTAGAATCATCTTGAATTTTTACATTTTTCTCGTTGAAACTCATAATATTCATAATAATTTCATGCATGTCTCTTCTCTCATTATCTTCGGTATTTTTTACCAAAACCTTTTTCCCATTTAGTTCCTTCTCTAAAGGAGACTGAATCTGATTCAAAACCTTTCAGTCATAAGTGGAAAAATTTATCAAGTCATGGGGGAGGTTGACTTTCAAAACTTATTAGATGGTTTACGTACTTACCATAGGAGATGGCGTTTGCTGTGCATTCTGGGAATGAATAACTTGATAAAGGAACAGGCTTGAAGTGAATGAGAATCCTCTTCCGATGCTCTGACGGACTATCGACGCGCTTTTCCACAACAATGTTACACATTAATTAATGGAGCCTATTAATCTTATGAACAACAAGAGTTCTGGAAAAGCATGATGATGTCCTGGATGATTTGATCTATTATGCTGTGCAGTCGCTCACATCATGAGCTCTTGTTAGCCGTCAAATAAGAAAAGTGTAGTTCAGTTGTTGCGAGAAAAACACTGTATTTTCCAACTGCAAAATACACTTTTAAGTATGCTGAAGCAAAGAGGATCTTACTGGTCATAACTAAAGCATGATTAGACTTCACATAGGAGGCAGACTGAGCGAGCGATCTGAAGAAATCTGCATAGCTGGGGAGCAAGACGACCCCCGATGATTTCGGTGACAGAGATACAAAACCATGAGATTCAGAGTAAGAAAAACTCAAGTCATCACTTTTCTTTTACTGTCTCCTTTCATAAGCGTAAGGTCGTGCAGTAGAGAGGAAAAAATTGACAACAATCACCACATTAAAGCTAGACTGAGCGTTGATTGAAAAAAATGCTGTATGTAATATGGTAACGCTTCACCACGAAGCCATACTCATCACTAGTTAAGACTCTGTCGATACATGAGCGCATAAAAATAGTTTGATGATACTGGAAACTAACTTTTCTTGATAAATTTTACTTGTTAAGAGGGAATATTATGAGTTTCAACGAGAAAAATGTAAAAATTCAAGATGATTCTAACCTCAATCTTGTCTGTAAACAGCTAAACGGCCGTAGAGAGAGACAGACTGATGATTTTGTACCTGTTTTCAACTGCGATAACTCGGGTAAAATTGGTCGATTTGAGGCGTTTTAAAGGTTGGACCCCCCTATTTTGACGCTTTAAAATCGATTTCGGGAGCAACCTCTGGGGTTCCCGGCGTTTAAAAGGTCGAAAATTCGTTTTGAAATTTGAAAGTTGTTTCTTACGGGGAAACGCCATTAGTGCAACAAGGACAGCCAATTGTTTGGAACCCGAGACCGTAGTCGAAGGAATCAATGCTGGCTGTGACGTAAGACTAAATGAGTCCATTGTAGCGCACATTTCAAATCTTCGCCTGCTCTCATCAAGATGAGGACGAGAAGCATTGTGTGATACATAAGTGAGATGACGATAATTATCCGTCACATTCCTTCCTAGAAATGTGCCTGCTCCAGCTGAATTTAGTTTTTTATTTCTGAACAATGAAAGAATCTCAAAGGATCAAAATATGACTAATTCCTAGCTCTATAGCTTGCAAGATAACACCCTTACCTGAGTTATGAATTTTTCCAGTATCGTTGAAATATCAGTAGAGTACCTCATAGCGGCACCCAGTGTCACAGTATGTCATATTTGATGTAGGTAATTCTCATCCAAATTAGAGAAGAATAAATATTTACCTTCGTTACCACCAAGTAGACGAAAGTTCCACTGTGAACTTAGTTGGCCAATAAAAATGCGAACAATGAAGCAATTATTTTTACTTCCTGACTCCAAATGGTAAGAATTATGGTAAGAATTCTAAGGCATACTAAAAACTGTATTTATCATTCCTCAATTAATACAAGGTTGACTGTTTGCATGGTGATGATAGTACATTAGTTGGCTTATTTATTTTTCTAAACTTTAGATTAAGTTGATGAAGGTAGCAGGTTATCGTCAGCAAGAGCTCTTGATATAAGTATGTAGTTTAGAATGGTCGATTTTTAATTCTTCCAGAGGAGCATCATTAGTATTTAATTCAAAACTCTCAGGGGTCTCTGGATACTATGCCACATCTTATCGATAAGATGGGTGATATATAACCCTGGTGATGGGAGAGATAATTTCAAGATAATTTTGGTAAAAGTCGGACAAATATGAAGATGCCAAGTTTATAAGAAAATCTCACAAACCAAAGTGAAAATTATTTCATGCCTCTGCAATTTTCAGCTTTGCGCTAGGTTATCGCAAGAAGGTCAGCACAACGCGCTGATCAAACTTTTGGGGCATTTCTTGTTAATTTTAGAATGTGTGCCAAAGTCACAGTAAGTATTCCACAAGAATTGCAAATCTGAAAAATCTAGAAAAACAACAAGTACCTCTCAGCCTCCGCGCAATTTGCACCCCTGCTAACAAATGTTGGAGAATAGAGAACACTTTACCCTCAAAACATTACTCACACTGATTTTGGACTAATAATTATATGTGTACAATGGTGGATCTGAGCTGTACTTACTTACCAAACTTTGTTGAGCGAAGTTGTTACTTAGAGGAAGTTCATTAACTGCTGCCAAGGATTCACAAACTCTGACCTTGATAGATATTTCCGACATATACTTGAGATACAGTCAGATGTTTAGAATTCTGGACATTCAGTTATTGTTCACATACAAAAGAAATTGACTTACAAATACAACCGTTTTATATTTACATAACTGCTCAACAGAACATACCGACAGTTGTGATTAGGTTCTCGACAGCACTCTGATAGCGGTGATAGCTAAAGGATCCCTACCCTGCGGCAAAAATGGAGTTGATTGAAATTTTGATTCACATGGTGCTAATGCTGTCAAGACAAAATTACACTCCACGCACAGTCAAAGAATATTTCGATAAGTAAGATTATCCATTAAGGAAGTTGCACAAATCACAAATCAAACCGAAGGCCATGGATAAACCAAGGAGCCAGCTCAGAAACTCGGCGATTCAGTTTCTCTCACTGCAAGAGGTGGAACCATCCAAAGTACCACTAATGTTAAGTTGAAGGGGTGAATTACTGATTTAAAGAGTGATAAGTCATTTTGGGACTTTTTCGAAGAGATTTAAAGGAAAAAATTGGAAAATGTTCAACTATAAAATGAACGTAAACAATCCGCCATTGAATCAAGAATCAATGCTGACGCACAAATGAAACAAGCGCTAAACACAAGGAAACGAAAAAGCACGTAAATAGATTTTGTTTTATAAGGAAAATGGTGAAAAAGTTAGGAAATTCCTATTGGAAATTGAAACTTTAAGATATAAAGAACTATAGATAATTAATACAGTTTACTTAGAAATGGAGTTAAAGAAGGCAAAGTTAAGGAAACTAGGAAAGAACAGGGTATTTTGTAGGAAAGGGTTGGTAGGTCTAGAATTGAATCGACGTATCGACATATTGAACAGCGACTATCGATAGTCTCGAAAAACCCGTGTAAAATACACACTAATACTATAAGTTGTTATGAGGGATCTTATGGAAATGCACGCACACATACAAAAAATCGCTCGATAGCCATAAAAATCCCCATTTAAACACGCGGCAAAACCCCACTAGCGATCGAGATTTTTGCATTGATGAAACGGCGAGGGTGATAGGAAAGTTATCCCCAGTTGATCACTGGGAGAACAAAAGTTGAATTTTCGCGGGTTACAGTTTTCCTCCGTCGAACATTTCCGTTTCCTCATTCAACTGAGGATTAATGGTTCCTCGTTTGCTACACTAGAGAGCAGCACTTTCCGGTGGCCGAGCAGACTTGACTCACACCAACACGAATTTGTTTGTGTATGTGTTCAATATGCTTAATTATTATATGTATTATATTTTTTCTGTATTTTTTTTGCATTTCTAATCCTTTCACATTTTCAAAAACTGAAGTCTTATTTTTTTGCTGTTCTGTTGCGATAAAATTATCAGCTGACTGCTGACTCTATGCTATCTTATTAGAGAATCTCCCAGTTTCCTCGGTTACATAGTGTAATGGAAAATCCGTCTATTCAAGCAAATAGAAATTTGGTGAAATTGTGATAATTGTAAGAAAATGAAGAGGCGCTCTACAAATCAGGTACTGCTTTTTGAACTCATTTATTTTCTTCCTATTTTTTACGAAGTACTATACTTACTTTCCAGATAAATCTTAATAATTTTATGAAAGACGAAGAATAAATGTGATAGAATTTTACACATGATTGTCCGCAGGAAAAGAAGGTTTATAGTTTACAGATTCAAATTTACTTGTTATGTGAAAGACTCGTGTTAAGTTTTCTTGAAAAATTAGATTGTACAAGGTAATATGTACTCATATTAATGGGCTAGTTGCGCTGGTTCAAAAGCGGATTCAGCAATTTGGCAACACTGTCTTCCTTCCATTTAAACCTGTGTTGAATAATCGATTCTTGTCGGAGCACCTGGCCCCTACTGGAATCGATACATTTCCATATGTTTAAATGAGGAAAAAACAATATTGCCAAATTTCTGGATCCGCTTTTGAACCAGCGCAACTAGCCCATTAATATGAGTACATATTACCTTGTACGATCTAATTTTTCAACAAAACTCAACACGAGTCTTTCACATAACAAGTAAATTTGAATCTGTAAACTATAAACCTCCTTTTCTTGCGGACAATCATGTGTAAAATTCTATCACATTTATTCTTCGTCTTTCACAAAATTATTAAGATTTATCTGGAAAGTAAGTATAGTACTTCGTAAAAAATAGGAAGAAAATAAATGAGTTCAAAAAGCAGTACCTTGATTTGTTTTCAGTTTATTTATTGCGGTGTGAAAAATTTGTCACGTTAATAGTTTCACGAAGGCGAGCTCTCCAACACAGTAGTGTTGGAACCAGCAGCTTGTTTCATTTGCAATGCACTTTAATGTAATAGGGCAGTTTGTGCAATGGAAGAAGCCATGCTGCCATCGAATCAAATATTATAATCTGTTTGCATGAAATATAATGAAAAATAAAAAATAAAACGGGGGAACATTTTAATATTCAGTATTTATAAAAGTGCAAGCCAAAATAAAATAAATGCTGGAATAACTTGTAGTTTTTTAATTACTAATTTGTGAACAATCTTTTTCTACCCCTTTCTGTTACCACCGGTAGTAAACAGCCGTTTGCCACTCGTTTTCCGTTTCACTTCTGCTCATAACTAACGGTCCACCACAAGCTCCTAATCATGCGGACTTAACACAATTTACCGCATAAGGGAAATACCGACAAATTGCAGGCATTTTTAACGAAATAATATGAATTTGAGCTATTTTTATCGACTTTAAATGCATTCAGTTATGCTACTTGATCTTCAAAAAGATCAAGTATATGCCGGCGGAGAAATTGACTGCTGATATGGTGTGAAGTGTTCTCACATCATCGTCCATCTGCTAAATGAAATCATAAAGCGAGGTAAATTTTTGCTGTCCAAACAGATACTTAAACACACGCCCCTGCGGGGCGATTATTGAAACTGATAGACAAAGCGATAGACAAAGATGACATAGGAAGTATAAAGCAATTCTATTGGTTGAAATGGGTGGTTGTCATCGACTAAGGGGGAAAATGATAGACTAACTGTCGGGTTTCTCGTGGGTTGCCGTTACTTAGTCGATTACCTACCTCCTTTGTCCATTGCAACCACCCGTTTCCACCAATAGGATCCCTCCAAATCCCTTTTGTCGTCTTTGTCTATCGCTTTATCTATCAGTTTCAATAATCGGTCCGCAGATGGTTTGTTGCCTATCCGTGGGGGTTGAATACGAACTTAGGGAGGACGATATTTCTAAGCAGGCTCAGACATCATATAGATAGCTCAACCAGAGCATGTATCTAACTTAATATCCATTTTCAGATAGGTGACTATTCGTACTCTCCGGTAAGTTTTTTGTATATCCGGCAAAATTGAAGGCGCACTACAGATGGACGAAAGGATCGAATAGTTTCATATATTCTGCATTATTCGAGGTCATGTGTCGAGATGCATTTCTCTTATATTTTTTTTTCATAATTAGTCCTGTTTTCTTTCGATTAATTACTATCTGATAAATTCGAGAAAAATTCGTTTTTGACGGAAGAAATATGAACTTTTCTCTTCTTTTTGCCAAACCCCATAAATTTATTTTAGAGAGTAGGAAGGGATTTTTTCCATTTTTTTTTTTCAATGCGTTGGCGTCAACGCGACGTTCTACCCCTTCACTAAAATTATTTAAATATAAAAGAACTGCGTCCAATCTAACATGAGCCCTGAGACCCATAAAAATGCATGCACGATAAGGCTCATGTCTCGATGCACATGGTTCATTTTGCTTTAAATACATCCAATGGATCAGTCAAGTGACTTAGAATACTTCTTACTGGTTGAGAGGTGGCATCAGCCAGCCAGAAATCAGAACTATGTCGGAATCAGTCGAAATATTAAACTTATGTTTTAATTTTCTTTTTTCGCAGGTTTGAACACGAAGGGTTTCAGCGTCCTCTGAGAGTCCCTTAGGGGTGGCGTGCGAGTTCAGCCTTGTAATCCTTGCATAACTACTCCCAGTCATCCCTCAACATGGTCCGCAGAGATTCGGCACTGGAGATGAGCGTTCCTGCGCTGGGAATAATCACGGCAGCAACCTACAGTGCACAGAGTCAAACACATCACCGCGTTGAACGATAATCCCCGAATCGACACGATTATGGAGGTGAGTCACTTCAATTCTGACGATATACCAACGGTGAAACCAATGGCGTGGCGTGCTTTGCGATTAATCGATTGATCTGCCATTTGAACCTGTGGAAAAGGATCGATGAACAGGGTGTTCGCAGCGAGCACTTTACTAATCGATTCTATACCATAGCTTCAAACTGGAAAATATCGATGATGGAACTTGCATGCCTCGCCACTGGCTGAATATTTCCAGCCACGTTGGTGTCTCGGTTTGAACGTTGTAGACTTCCTGTCTTACTTCATGAGTTCAATGGAAAAGTTCTTAACGTAAATTTTCTTAAATTTCGAGACTTTTTATCTCTGGGCGAGGTAACGTCCGAGAAAACTTCAAGGAATAATGTTGATTTGTTCTCCTTCCAGAAAATAAAACGGGAGTGTAGATTTCTAAGCGCCTGGGAACAAGATACGTGGTTTGGGAGTTTCAACGTTGATGTGAAATCTATTTAGTAGAAGCTCACCAACGCAATTTTAAGGACATTGAGTTAGCTGTTGGTCCGAATGAGATTCATTCTCTTTGATGCATAAGGAGCATTTTCTTCAAAAACAACTTATTTAATCCAAATTTTGAATTATAATCACGGTTGATTCGCTTTTGATTTTGGATTTCTCAGAAGGAAGCCAATGTTGCGTCGATATCGCTACATTTTTTAAGCTAGAGTCAAACGGTGTATATATCGAGTAACAATATATATGACTATTCGTATCTCCCTGTCGAGCGTTTAGCATAACTGCACAATTGAAGGCACTTTCCCTCTATCGGAACTGCATCCATGCGTAGTTGAAAACGGTATTCATTAAAAAGATCCAGTTTGAATTCGTCCATTTTCGTGAATTCAATTGCGATCCTGAAAGAGGTCAAGACGGGAGTGGCTCTGAGAGTAGGTTTCCTCCTGTGAGATCATTCTGTTCGATTAGTATAAAAACATGGATAAGAAAAAGTCACTTTAAATTCTCCTGATTATCCCTTGGATGCCAAAGCCGGGTCAAATTGACCGGATGCATGCAGAAAACATTTGCTCCGCGGGTTGTAAAGGGCCGGTTCACACGAGCTTTAGATATAGGTTTACAAATACATCGGATGAAAATAATCAGACTTCAAATTGAAAAAACAGCAAAAGTCGAGCACCAAGAAGAGGACAGTAGAAGATAGGAAAGACGCAATTCGGCATAGTTTTTCAACTTTTCCCCCGAATCTGAGTGACATCTCTTTGGCGGCAAAGAGCGTAGCATTACGAGTTCGCGCCTTCAATCTCACAGATGCGACACGGACATCCATCAAGCACGAATAGTTGTATCTCTGCGCCGTCATCAACGCGCCTCCTTTCCCTCGCTCTATTACCATGTTGTGTAGGTTCCTTTGGTTCCTACCAAATTTAGATTTTGAAACCAAACATCAAACAATGTTCTCATTTGGTGTATTTCTGATCAAAATATGCAAGCATGCAAATAATGTAGCTGCACACGCGTGTCAAAAACAATTTCAGGACTATGAGTCAAATAAGAAGGCTTGAGATATTACACCTGAAGTCGACCAAAATTTGCATTGATTCTCAGCCTCTTGAAATTTAACCTCCGTCGCTCCATAAAGCTGAGTCTCAACGCAAAATCATAACAAGTTGGTTTTTGCAATCGCTAGCGATAGCAATATTCGTCATGGGAACTTTTGCTTCTGGGATATGAAAATGTTAAGGTACAGTTCGTTTGTAGTATCTTCAAGATTGAAGGGGCTATGTAATTTTGTGTCGACATCTCTTTTTTAACATTTTTAATTTTTTTTCTTTGCATACAAGAAAGCTGTTATATTTACCAATTATTTATTTTTGTTGGATTATGTATGGTTTTCGGAAGTTAACGCATTTAACTTTCAGTTTCGTTTTTTCGGCGTAAAGTATGATATTTTTACTCTACGCATATGCCCGAATACGCATCATAAGTGACCTA